TTGCCCAAAAACAAGAAGACGATGACGATGAAGACGGTGACGACGAGGAGGCGAGTCGACCGGGTCTGCGCTGTGCCGCTGAGGACTGAAAAGGCTGGCATGATGGAGTCTTGTTGGTGTTGGTTTGAAGCAGATGTGTGAGGACGTGTTGAGAAGGGGCAAGGAGGAGCTTTGTTTGATAGATGGTCGCGTGACGAGCATACAATTTTCTTCTCATGTCGTGGTCTGTGATCCACGCTCTTGGGGGGGGGGGGCGACATGGGCAATCCTGCCATGATGGAGCGGCAAGAGCGGGTCCATGCGGGGGGGCCGCTTCCCAGCCCCCGCCAGGACCAGGCAGCCAGGAAATCTGGGGTTGGGCCAGCCAGAGCCAGAGCAAGCCTGAGCCTTTGCGCGTTCAGGCATGGCGTGTTCAGCATGGTACGCCATCACGTGTGCCCTCTCACAGCTGTGTGCCCAGCTGCTGTCCAGTGCCGGCGGCTGCTGACCAGTGCCAACGGCTGCTAACCTAGGCAAACCACGCCCCCCACAAGATGCCGAGGCATCGCCCTATACCAAGGTCAGGTACCACGGAGAGGGCGAGTTCGGCAGCTTCACTGCATTTTCTACAGTTGACTTTCGCTACTTTCTCTTCATGCGAGCACGTATACTCGGGTTCCATTTGTTCGCTGTGTTGCTGCCACCATGGTCCACGAATCCTTTGACGAGGTCATGAACCTCATCGAACTGCCAGGGCCTACCTCCTCACCCACCAAGGACCCTTCATCGCCAGTTCGATATGCGGGTCTTTACCCGGCATGGGTACTTGGTGACGAGATTGAGGGTTACACTCCCATCAGACAGGCGTACGGTGGACATGTCTACACCCAGTCATCATTGGCGGCCGTCCGCGCACTGGAGGCCGCCAGGAAAGCCGCTTCGCCAGCGCAACCGACCCCTGACATGCTCGGCATACATGTGAGTTGAGCATCGACGACCCTCCGGTCGACAGAATGCAAGCTCATGTGGTCTGCAGTCCATACAAGGGGTATTCGCTGCCAACGTCATCTCCGATCGCCCCATCATCTACGAAGCCAAGCCCGTCTTCATGAGACGGACATTCAGCTCCATTCTCGTCACGGCACGCCAGCCCCTCGAGCCCACCCCTGCAGGAGAGTCCACGGTATTCACCAAAGAAGACGCCGACGCGCCGCTCGGCGATGTCTGCTTCAGCTGCCTCTGCACCTTCAAGTTGCCGGAACCGGCATCCATCGACTCCCAAGGGACGTCACCGCACACCCGCTACGCCGCGCTCCTCCGCTCGAGGCCCCCGCACACCTGGCCGCATTCGCCCCAGGTCGACCTCGACCTCGTCCAGACGTACTTCCCCGGCGCGGGACCCGGCAACTTTCCGATCCTCGACATGAAAAAGGTCGACATGGCGGCGATCAACGAGGGCAAGCCCCTCCAGGACAGGCGCGAGCTGATCCTCTACCGTCTGCGGGCGCCGCTGCCCGCGAGCGCGCCCAACCACCACATCCTGGCGCACGTCTACGAGTCGGACCGCAACGGCATCCTCATGCTGGCCAACCATGCCGGTCTCGGTATGGCCCTCGCCGCCGGCGCGAGCCTGACCTACTCGTACTTTGTCCACGTCAACCCGGAGCAGGCCGTCATGAAGTACGGCGCCCAAGAGGACGAGAGCGTTTGGTGGATCCAGGAGACCTTCTTCCCTCGTGTCGCGAACGGCCGCGGCACCTTGATGATCAAGACGTGGAGTCCCGAGGGGCTTCACGTGGCGACGGGCTACCAGGATGGTTTCATAAAGGGGTTCAAGGACGGGAAAGAGAAGCTGTAGACTCTGGGACCTGCATGGAAGGCGTGTTCGCCGCCATGTACTGTGGGAGCGAGTCGTCGTTTACGCTTCAAGCTCTTGGCCATTCAGTTGACGAGCCTCCTCGAGATGTTCCACTTGCTGATGAGGCATAGATGTTGTATCTTAGGTTTGTTGGAGGTAAGCTAAGCATAGATCATAATACATGGACTTCATGTTGTAGACTCTGTGAACGCTCGTCAGCATCATTCATAACATTTCAGAGCGCCACATGGCCGAGGCTCGATACACTAACAGCGCAAGCGGTCAACGTGCCCACAGGACTTACAAAGACAGTCCACTCAAGCCTGAAGGTCGAATCTGGACACCCACGCACGCAATCCGGAGCCAATATCGACGCTGCTGGGAACCCTGATCACCCTACAGCCTACGTCCTCATTGCAAAAACCCCGACAGCGAAGGCGTCCCGACGCTCATAAACCGTGTTGATGATCAAGGCATGCTAATGTGCGACCTGAGAAACACGTCTTCCGACGTTCCGAGATCACGGCTACAGAAAGCACGGTGTTCCGCTTGGTAAGCAGCATCAGGTGAAGGTACCCAACAAACCAACCTGAAGCTTCACGTCTGCCAACTCACGCTGGCCCAGCATCTGGATCTACCCCAAGACATGCCATGCTCCCCAGCGGTTATTTCTCCCTACTACCATTCACATCAGTATCGCACCTCAGCTCAATTGTGGCTGTCGACAATTCCGGGACTATGAAACAGAGCGTTGGCCGCCGGCATCGAGACTAGTCCCGAGTCATGTTCACACCTGGGCATCGCCGCGAAACCTTATTCCAGGGCGCCCTCACCTGATCCATCACTGCCGGAAATCCACCACAACATCCACCATTCCGTCGCGCGGCAGCACGGCTTTTCGTGACCCCGTACATCCAACATCACATCAGTCTTCACAAGCTCTTCACAACCCAGTATGAAGCGCACAAGAGGCGCCTCACCAGACGCAGACGACATCCACGTGAGTGAAACTCTCCGTTCTCGTTGCCCTTGTGTGCGGGCGCTCTCTGTCACACAGACATGACCTCTGACAAATCATCGTCCTGTACAGCTGCGAAGGGAGAGGGGCCGTAAAGCCCAGCAGGCCTTCCGACAACGACAGATCACAGCCATCAATGAATTGCGCGCCAGCAATGAGGCCATGCAGGCCGCCATCGCGAAGGTGTCGCAGGTCGCGTCCAAACTGGGGAGTGCCGAGCTCGACCGCGCCGTGCGCGATGCTGTGAGCATCGCCGGGCTGGAGCGACAAGCTTCAGCGAGCCTTGATGCAGGCAAGGCACCATCACCACCGCCACCGGGACCTTCGTCGGAGCCACAGTTTCCAAGTACGCACGCGCCCTCATCGTCATCACAACAGAGTGAGAGCGCGTTTCCACCAGAGGTGGCGCCTTCGCAATCGCAATGCACGCCCCATCTCTCCGTCTCACAGCCAGCGGCATCGCTCATCGCTTCTCGCACACCAGTGCCGCCATCTCACCTGTCGCCCCCATCCGTCCCCCTGGACACGCCAGCAGACGGGCCCCTCCCCGCCTACGCATCCGGCCGCATGTCGCCCGGCTTCGGCTACGGCCTCTGGCTCGCGCCCGCGGCGTCGCGGCAGCGCGACCCGCCCATCGACATTGCGCCGTACCTCGCCATCGACAAGACGAGCTTCGCGAGCGTCGTCTACTGGACGGGCATGATGTGGGGCACGCGCCTGCCTCGAGGCGGCCATGCGCGGCGACAGCGCCGAGGCCCGGAGGAGACGTGCCGGTTTCTCGTTTGGCGCGCTCCGCGAACATGGGGCGGCAGCGACGAGCAGATCCTGCACGGCATGCGCGCGCGGCTGTCTTTCGCCGCCGCGGCTACGTCGAGGCCGACCACCCTGGCTACGACCCGGACAAGGGCGCCCGCGTGCAGGCCCTCATGCTGAGCCACAGCACGGCCAAGGGTCTGCGGCTCGACAAGTTCCTGCGGCCCGCCGCCGTCGAGCTGGCGTTCCGGCGGCGGCTCGGGCCCGAGTACGCCGTCATCGAACAGGGGCTCAAGGGCTTGGGGTCGGCCGAGGAGGTCATGCGGGTGAGGGCGCTTGTGCAGCTCATGGTCAAGACGTCCAGGTGCCTAGGAGACGGGCCACGGTGGGACATTGATCGTGTCGCCACGATTCTTGAGACGTGGGCCGCCGGGAACAGCGACTCGCCGTCATCGTAAGGCTTGGGAGGGATATCAAGCCCAGTCTGGCAGAAGATGACACTGACTAACTGATGAATAAAGCGACTTGAAATTCTTTTTTTTGTTTCCCCATTTCACATTTTGTTGAATACAGCCACGAAATATTGGGCGTCCACTACTATGTGAGGGAGAATGCTGTCAACATGACAAGACGCAATAGTAAGGGCTCGCTGAGGAGTGTAAAATATGACAGCAAATATTTCCGCTTGACCGGAACGCCAAACTCACACACCCTGTCTCTCTCCCGCCAGTTCTCGATCAGAGAACATCTGATCCACTCTACTTCGGGATGAGCCACGCTGTCTCCGTGTCTGCCACATCCTCCCGAATCGTCTTGCTGAACTTCAACCAGCAGTACGCAGCGTTGGTGCCCTGACGGCCACCGTACCCCCATACGACGCCGAGGCAGCTGCCAGCCGCACCCTGAGGGCTGATGTACTGCGAGGCGCACAGCATGAGGCAATCCTCCATACGTGTCATCGGTATATGGCCGATATCGTTGCCAGCAAAGTTGACGCCGCAGAGGCGCTCGAAGACGAGATCCGTGCCGGGGACCGTGTACTCGGTGCCGTTGACACCAGGGCAGCCGGGATCCGTGACGCCAAGACCGGATGACGCTTGCGTCGGGATCGGAATGGCCGTGAAATCAGTCGCAGACGCCGTCGAGGTTGCGCTTCTGGTTGTTGCGGCCGATTCTGAGGCCGAAGCCGAGACCGCGGCAGTTGTGGTCGTTGCTGGTCCTGATGCAGTCGTGGCCCTGGCGCGTCGTCAATATTTTACTCGACTTTTTCTTGAGTCTTCAAATTCGGGGCCTACTCACGCTCCAGAGCCTGCGCTCCCGTTACCGTTGCTGTTCTGCGAGGCCAGGATGCCTGCCGCCACCGCTGCACCGATAAGTCCGGCGGCCAGAACGGCAGACAGCACAATCAACCAAAAGGTCGTTTTCCTGAGGCCGCAAATGCGGCCTTCACTGCTGGTAGGCGTGGCTAGTGGAGGCGAGTGGCTATGCTGAGGATAGCCCGCGTGAGACTGATGTTGCTGGTGATGATCCTGGATGGCTTCAGCCTTTGCGGCTGCTGTGGCATCAGGATAGTCTGTTGTTGCCATGAGGCCGCTTTGTTGATAGTCAGAGGTCGCCATGAGACCAGAGTTGTACTGCTGCTGGTGCTGCTGATGCTGGCCGTCGCTATACTGAGACGGGTAGCTGTAGGCCGTTGAGGTGCCATCGACCCCTGTGCTTGCAGGCGAGTATCCGGTCGCCATGATGAGTGAGTGGCAGTTGGATTTGCTGTTCGAGCCGATTATGGAGGTGACATGAAGCTATGGTCCGGCCCAACGCGTCACGAAGGTAGGAAAGACAGGCAGACCTGAGTAAGAAGGACAGGGTCGCACAGCAAATGGAGAATTGGGACTTCTGCAGAGGATATAACGTGAAGACGGCCGCAATCTCCTGAGAGGGCAAGCAAATACGACGATCCAGAGGGCCCTGTCCAGTGCCCATTGACCACACGCCCCCCCTGGTTCACAGCTTCGGGCTAGAGCTGCAGCATCGCGAAACCCCCTGTTCGGGGGAAGGGTGGGATCGCGACGACCCGCAGGCCTCGCGCGCTTGTGGTCCAGTAAAGGCGACGGTATGCCGAGCAAGCCAGGAGCTGAGCGTCAGAAGGCGGCAAGCAAGCTTTTTGGGGGCCGGGGTCGGTCAATGTCAGCGTCGGGCCATGCCACTTAGGACGGGGAGCAAGCGAGGCAGCGCGAGCCACGCCGGCTGGGCAAAGAGCAGAATCATCGCGAGGTCCACTGATGATGCCCACGATATAAAGATGCGCGACATTCACGTTGTTCATCGTCATCCTATCGTACTGCTTGACTGAGCAACGAAGACAACCCAAGTCAGTGATACATAAGGGAAGCGAGAGGCTTCGATGCCTTCACACGTGAGGCGCAAGATCGGCGACAGTCTTGACGCAGCGCCTTGCTGTGTTCGACACATAGTGCATGCACCTGCCTTGGAAAGCTTGTTCTAATTCTGTAGACGCGATATTGTGGTGGGCGAGTTGATAGGCTCCGCTGAGGGGCGCTGCACAGCTGCTGGGGCTGGTACACATCACCTCTCACTTCATCTCCCCGCGCCAACATCTCAGCCCTAAGACGGCTTGGATGGCTCGCTTGCCCTGGACGTGTTGAGAGCTTGGGACCATATTCGACCGTTGCATTGATCAGGGGGGTCAAGTTCAAGAAGGACTCGAGCCGAGATGAAACCGCCCATTCTGGGCCGAGCGACGCCCCCTGGTGTTCAATGAGCGAAATCCCTGTAACGTCCTTGTGCTTCATCCCGAAGGATTCGAACACAGCCCCCCTACACATGGGCTCCCAAGGTCGGGGCCAGCGCGGCAACGAGGACGTCCAATCGTGTGGCCGAAGCTAGAGGGACCCTCCTGGGTGCGACTCGCTGGCTGCATGTCGGCTTCCAAATCATTGCTTGGGCGTCTTCGTGCCCGTTTGCCACCTCATTCACCACGCCCGTACCTGCCAATGCTGCGCTCAAAGCAGAGAGTCGATGTCAGCATGCTCCTTGAAGAGATTGACGAGCGGCAGGAACAAGTTCTCGCCAGCGTCTTCCAAGTGGCGCATGTCGTCCCACGACTTCCAGAACCATGCGCTGCATTTCTCCGGCTCCATGGCCTAAACAAGGGGCGCCAAACCGGTCAGCGGTCAATCTCCAAAGCACGGGAGGCCCTCACACCCCCCAGCCGTTGAGAACGCAGGGGGGGGTGGGGGAGAGCCGGGCTGACAAGGATGGTAGATGAAGAGAGGTGGAACAAACCTCAGGCTGCGCTGTCGCATCCTCCATCTCGCACTTGACGAAAATGGTTATGTAGTGTTTGCCCTGGTCGGCAAAGACATCGTTGGTCACGGCAGCGACCTTGACGCCGCGCACGCGCAGGCCTGTTTCCTCGAGTACCTCGCGCTCGGCACAGGCGAAGAAAGACTCGCCATACTCAAGGTGGCCGCCCGGCAGCTGCCACGTGCCGGCGCCATGGCTGCCCTGCCGCTTGCCGCTGACGATCTGGCCCTGGGCGTTGGCGATGATGGCTGCCACGCCGACACGGGGGTTCGGCGATGTAGTCGTCGACATGTTGCGAAGTTGCGTAGAGTGTTTGGATCTGGGGGTCGGTGTCGGTAATCCGGTGGTATGAGGTGTTTGGTCAATTGCGGGATAGTCGAAGCTGAGACGACTTGAGTCCTTGATGCTTGATGAAGCAAACGGCCCAAGAAACAGGAGTCTATGTCCTTTTCTTATAAATTCAAGCTGGACACGGCGCAGTGAAGCAAAGACACAAAGTAGAGAAAGGACGTCGAGACCGCGTTGATTCCTGTAGGTTGGGGCCTTCGTTGGAAGGCGCAGTGGTCGAGGCCGACGTCGAAGTCGCGGCTGCCATACAGGGAGGTGCTCCTTCTTCACACACGTCACCTGGGCGCGCCTTCTTTTGAGTCATCCACCATACAATTCAGTTGGGTGGGCCCAGTAGCACGAGGCACTTCGGCAGGCTCCTCCCACGTTACACATGCCCAGGATTACCTCTCTTCCGGCGGCGGCAGGAGGCCTTGTTGTTCGGTCTTGCAGTTCGGTCCACAAAACAGATGCACCACCACCACCACCACAAACAGAAAATCCACGACATCACATATCGCCATAATATATATACATCACGGGTATCATCTGCACTCATTGACATCCCCCAACACATGAACCATCCATCTAGAGGCCTCCCCATCGCCCGCTTCCTGGCAGCTGGGAACTCGTCGGCTTTTCCAGCCCCTTCAAAGACTCCTGCCAGTTCTGCCAGTTGATATCCTCAACGTCCATATTCACATCAAGCTCGTCCGTGCCGACCATGTCGTTCAACCCATCCATACCCGCTCCTTCAAACAGCGTGTCCATCGAGGTGAACGGATCTGGCCAGAGCCACGTTGGCGGCGCTTGATTTGCGCCATGCTCGAAGCTCCGGCCCCCCTGCGGCGGCGGCTGCTGCTGCTGCTGCTGCTGCTGCTGCTGCTGCTGCTGCTGCTGCTGCTGCTGCTGCTGTGACGGTTCGCCTTGCAGCACTGCCGTCTGCTCGCTCATTGTCCTGTTCGCAGCCGCTAGGGCCGTGTCGATGGTTGCGCCGTGCTGCATTGTGCCATTAGCTGGTGCACTTGGCAAGGCATCCCCGTTGGTCATCCCGATCGCCAGCATGTCCTCGGCACTCAATCGGCCCTGGTAAGCATAACGCCACAGCTCGATGGGATTCACTACTCCGCTAAGCAGCTTGTCGACGAAGTCCCCTTCCAATCCAGGCTGGGTTTCATCTTGCTGTAAGGCTGACACATTTGGCTGTGGCACGGCGCCGGCCGCTGGAAACACGAAATCGAGCCGCTGCTCGTCCTGCGTTAGCAGAGGTTCAAATGGAGGCAGAGAGCCGGCCAAATTCTCTCCTCGAACCATCTTGCGCCATCGGCCGGCGAAGCTGTGAAGCCCTGGCCTCCATCCCCGGCACAGAGCCGAGTCGCTCAGGCAAGGAGTTGAGCCTTGTCTTCGACATCAAGAGGGGGGGCGGCCTCCGAATCATTTCGCAGGC